CGATACCGCCGGCACTAAAGACATCCCGTTGTTGTTCATTTCCTTCCCATCCACCAAGGACCCCGAGTGGGAGACTCGCTACCCGGGCAAGACGACTTGTACGATCATTACCTTATCCCCGTATGAGTGGTTTGAACGCTGGGAGAACGAGCGGGTTATGAAGCGAGGCGAGGAGTACGAGGAGATCAAAAACCGTATCGGTAAGCGCATCTGGGAACAGACCTGCAAGTTCTTCCCTCAGGTGCGTGACCGCGTCGATTTCTTCGATGTCGGCAGCCCGCTGAGTAACAAGTACTACATCGCGGCGCCCCGAGGGGAGATCTACGGGATTGACCATCACGTGGACCGGTTCAGTCCCCAGGCTGCTGTAAAGCTCCGACCGGAAACGTCCATCCCCGGGCTCTATCTCACCGGGCAAGATATCCTTAGCTGCGGGTTCGCCGGAGCAATGTTCAGTGGTATGATCACTGCCTCGGCTGTCCTCGGAAGAAACCTGTTTGCCGATATGAGTCACTTGCAGAAGGCTTTGAAAAAGAAGAAAGCGACGATGGGTGGAAAGGTACAGAACGAGGCCGTACGGAATGGGTCGGTTTAAAACGCACAACTGAAAACTTGTTTTTGCTGTAGGACCTCAGCTATTATTAACTTTTATCCATCTTTACACAACAGTGAGTCATTTCCGAATTGCCCTCACCTTTGTGCCAAAACGAGTCCTCGTGCGGAACTTCGTTTAAGAAACTATCTTTCACTTACATGTTCAGACTTATGGGTAAATCAAACGCATTTTCGTTTGACTGGAAAACAGGAAGACTCGTTTGAGGCAAGAGGAAACGCGGAAATCGCCTACAGTGATGGCGGTCTGTATAATTTCATTCCTCTCTGACATTGTTGAAAACAAAATAGCCTAGATTATGGAAACTATTATGGATTCTTCTTAAAAGGATTTTTGACAAAATGTATGAGAAAAAACCATGTCAATTTTAATTTAACCGTCGGGAAAACAGACTGAAGCAGTGGTGGCGGGACTTGGGTAAAACAAGAATATATATTTTAAAAAGCATGACGTTTACAGCAGACGGCAAACGGGAAAGAATACCTCTAAATTTGTGTTCTTTTCTGCTAATCCTTAACTAAATCACACAAAAATTGAAAAATTTCTCCTATTCACCGCAAATACAGATATTTTCACTCTACTGTATAGACAGCTCACGTTTTCCGTTTGACGTAACGTCATGCTTAATCTCTCTATTATCTCTTATACGTAAACCGCCAGATAAATGTGAAAGTACCCGTAAAGCGGCACAGAAAATTTGCGTAAACCACCAGAGCATAATAAACCTTCCAAAGAGAGCTTACTAGCAAGCTAAGTTTATTCGTGCCTCTCACTATAAACGTTCAAATATATCTTGAACTGGTGCGTTGCAAAGTTGCGTACATGTATTTGCTGATTACAGGGGTTAGTTTTAGCAAGTGCACTGCGTGTGTGCACATTAAAATCAGGGTTCTGTCGTGCAATATGGCCTAGAATTACGTGCGTTTCCACACGAGAGTAATTATGGTAGCTGTTATGCTTTTATACGATTATCTGAAAACGAAAGTACAACATTAAGAATGGGTCAGTTCTAAATTAACTCTGGCCTTTTTACAGTGTGCGTCCTCTTCTTATTGAAATCAATGTTTCTTGGTCAAGAGATGAAGTTCAACAGCGGAGCATTAATATATAGCAGCTTGGTTATTTGTACTTTCCCAACAAGACTGCCAAAACAGTCGAAGACCATTCTAAATTTTGACTTGGGAAATCCTGCTTCTAGCCAACTATAGTATATTACATGCAACTACTTCCGCAATGACTGCTTTACCAAATGAAAAATACTATTTTCGGAAATAGGTGACGCGATACACCTAGCCTCCACCTTCCGTGGTGATATTGCCAAACGATCGAGAAACGCTTGCAGGGCCGATTTATTCTTCACTTGCTCTGGACATACAAACATCATCGAGAACTTTGTCCCACAAATATATAAACGGTAACCTCCTTTTGNCAAAACAACACTCTAAATGTGACTCTTATTTCTCAGAAATCACGTGATTTTACATACTTTTGTGACTCTGTTACCAAATTTGGACAAGGTGTAACGCAAACCTTTCTTGCGTGATCCCTATAAAAATATCTTTCCATTGGTGGAATTTAGCAGAGTTTAAGACAATCACAAAATTAGTCGTGTCACTTTGGTTTTTTTTAATTTTTTGTGGTAAAACGTCGATCCAGAACAGTTTTGTCCAGCGTACTAAATAAAGACCTTTTTCTTCAACCTAGGAACCTCCTTTCTTTCTTTTTGTTTGTATTTTTGTTTGTTTATTTATTTATTGTTTATTTATTTATTGTTTTGTATGTCCTGTCTGCGGCATTAAACTTCCAATGTCTAGTTAATAGCTAGTTAATGAAATTTCAATACCAAATTTGGTATTTACAATATGCAATTTAAATCCGTTACATTCTAAATTTATGCATCGGTCACCCTGTTTAATTTGCGCAAATTATAGTCTGTAACCGCTAACTCCTCTTTGCTCAGTAAGAGCGTAAAAAAGTACTTTACACTCACGCCATAGTTTGCACATGCGTAGAACGGTGAGACTATCTCTTAAAGCAGTTGAAAACAAATCGAAAAAAAAAAGCAACAAGAGCAACGAAATAATTTATCGTCGGCAAGAAACAGTGAGAATTACTTATCACTATTGGGAATTTTACCCGCTCTAAATTTGAACCGGCCTGAATGGAAATAATACCACTTTCGCCGACTTTTTAGAGACTGAAAGATATCAGGACATGTATTGCCTGGGTAGTATTAATACTGAGTGCAAGTAAAGATATTTCTGAAAGCGGCTTTGAAGCCAGTTTAGCGATTTGTGATACATATCCTATGAAATTTACACCACTTCTAATAAATGACTGTTAGAAAAAAAAATCCTAAGTGCTCGCTAAAAGCCGTAGTTTGATAGTTCCATCGAAAACAGAACTAACTTGAGTTTTGTGCGCATCGTAGAGATAGCGTTAATGGTGTGAGCAAAGTGAAATTAAAATTTTGATCATCGAAAAAAAAGGACTTTTCTTTTCTTTTCTTTTTTTTTTTTTTTTTTATTATAATTGTCTCGTAAGAAATAGGAAACATTGCATCCATTTTTTCTATACTAAAGTTATAGAATAAAATAAAATCTATCAACTTTATTGGTCACAAAATTACAATATAATTAAAAGAAGAAAGGACCAATAGGAATTGCGCGAACGGGAAAATAAAGTTACTCATGCGAGGCGCAACCCTAAAAGCTAGTAAGAATGGTGATAGAATCGCCAGTTGAAGTTTGGGAGAATTCAAAAAGCTCTTGAAACACTTACCTGGGCCTTGTGTTCTCAAAGCATTTCTCGTTCTCCCAAACTTCTACTCTAGGTTCTATTTAACAAATAGATTATATATTCGCTCTTGATTTCTGAGACGTCATAGCTGACGAGGCCGAAGGCCAAATCAACTAACCTGATAAATTGGTATTGAGAGCGAACTATCTTACTGTTTTTTCAGAAATTTTACAAAATTTCCTTCAGGTGATGATTTTCAAATTTTTTCTCTGCATTTCCAGCAGCATTTATCTCGCGCTTTACTGAAATCGCCCACTGCCTGCATAGTTGTAATAAGCTTGTAGCTCTCTAAGCGCCCGAAATCCATCTTCGCGCGCCTCAATTTTAAATATTTTGGATTCCGAGTAAGGATCCCACCGGATCCGCCTACGGCGGTCCATATTTCGAGCCCCTTCTCTAACATCTACCCCAGGTCTTTCTTTTAATCCACTCAGTAATGATTTCTTTGATATCTTCTTACGAAGCTTCGGAAAAACGAGGAAACTTAGCCATTTTGTAGAGAACATCCAAGCACTGCACACTAACGTAAAACGTTGATCCAGGTCTAGTGTATTAGAGTGGGCTAGAGTGACGTAAAACCAAAACCAAACCAGTTTCTTACCAATAAAACTATTCAAATTGTAGTAAAACCCGAAACCAAAGAGATTTTCCGATGACTTACGGCACTCTGAAACTGAAAACTGCTCTGGTGTACTGATGCAGCATTTGCATTATTTTAATGGTAGAATTCTATTTCACTCCATGGGAATCAGGGAAAACTCTTTTCTATTGCTTAAATAACACATACAAAGAAGCCAGAAATTTTCTTCATAGGTACACTTTGACAGCTGAGGTGATTTTTACAGTCTACAGTAATACTAGACAGCTGTTGTTTTCTCATGTATTGTTCAAAGCCTGGAAGTCAAATGAAAATCTCTCATTAACTTACGTGTATCCAATATGGAGTTAATGTTACTGAGTAAAATGTTCTGATAATTTAACGATACTGCACGAGATGCTTATTCAAGAAATTTGTTTCTCTGGGTCACGGAGGATGCCTAGTTCTGTGAACAATTTTTTTGTTTTTTTTTGTAATGCAGTGAAAATTATCACATCGCTAGAAAAACAGTTTCAAAACACAACTGTTGATTTTTATGCCCCTTTAATTTATTCCTCAGCTTGCATGACAACACGGGGGGATTAAAGACTGCTGTTTGAGGTCTTTTTCCTCCTTATGAGACTAGCATTTCCGACAATTTGTCGAACTTAATATATTAAAACGACTTTATTTTCAGCAAATTTTATTTACCTAACCTTTAAATATTTTGCAGTGACGTACACAAAGCTAACACAGGTGATCAAACAATTTGAACGTGCAAATATTCCACAACTTTTGTTTCTTGCGCTAACGACTTCGAGAAAAACAATCCCATCGCAAAAGAATTATTAACCAGTCCTATCATAATCACCTCCAATATTTTCCGCCAAAAATACACAAAATGAAAGTTACCCTTGCCATCTTTTTCTGTGTTATTCTTGGCGTTACCACTGCTAAACACTTGCTCGACGAAGAATACAAAGGTTTTGAAACTGCTGAGGACTTAAGTCTTGCCCGCCAGGAGGACATTGAGTATGATGACCCTGAGGAGATGATGAGAAAAAAGCTTCACGACTTATCGGTAAGCTTATGAGACAAATAGGTCGCCTTCAATTTGTTTGAAACACATACTATGGGACTGAGATTCTTTCAGGATCTTACATGACGTCGTTAATGGCAGCAACTGGATGTTTTGGAAGGAAGGAAAACTTTAAAAAATAACGGGACTTCACTGCCCAAGGAAAATAATTTATGACATTTTCTCCCGAATCCTTCACTTCTCAATAATCAGTTTTGTTTATCATGATTTGGACTAATTGATTAGTAATCCCCGACTGAAAGTTCTATCGTCATCTTTTACTGTTTGATAAAATGGACCACTGAGTATATGTATTAATGCAAGTTGATCGTCATGTTCTCAAAGTACTAAATACACATTATGAAAAGTGTTTCCAAGAGCGCTCAGGAAGGCCTTTTGTGGAGTGATTTTAGGTGCGTTATTGTTGTGGCCCTTTGCTGAGTGATTTGAGTGCATTCCTATTTTCATGGCACCGTCTTCGCAATGGCAACCAAGAACTACCCTGCAATTTTCGTTAAACTGGTCGCAACGGCAGTGCGGCCTAAGAGGTCAGAATTGATACTCGAGCGAAGCAACGTGAGTTAACGTGTGCTTAAACGCTAGTACCCGATGTACAATTACTTATGTCATTGCTTGCGTGAACCTTTGACCACAAGAAGTGTCTTAATTCATTTTTTGAAAATTGGGGAGCAGATACTTCTTGTAAAGTTATCAAAATGATCAACAACTATAGCCACCTGTATCGCTAAGAGTCGGTAAGCGGCATTTGAATATTACGAAGACGATATAGCAACCTGCATGGTAAAGGAATGGCACTGAAAAACCGTAGATTTCCAGTCAATTCTGATCCAATTTACTTCTGCCTCATCAAAACTTCCGGGCCGTTAAAAACAGTGTTTGAAGCGAGCGAACAAGATGAGTTCAAGCAGAAATGGAACTTATTTAGCACACTCAAGCCAAATTATTCATAAATCGCTGTTCACGCTTACGTTGTATTTTGTATCGTTGTAAAATAAATCATATCGCCGTGATAAAGCGAGATCAGTTTTATAACTTCGTCACGACGAGTTTCAAGGTTCATTTAAATTTACAAGTACACAACACGGGGTTGTGTAAGGGCTCGGATAAAATTGGTACCAATGTCAGGAGGCCCTCAGCCTCCACCCGTGTTCGGACTACTTATATCTCCATGGTCTGGACACGGTTAAAGTTGACATGGGTACCCGAGCCGTTTCGAACGATACTTTCGTAGGCCCATCAACTGGTCTTAATTAATACCTCGAGCCAATTTTTACACACTCGCGGAACCTGATTTCTCTGCGCTTGTGAAGGTACGTCGAATAACGACAACTGCTGGACAGGTTCCCAATGTGGAAGGATGTTTTGCTCCCAAGCCTTGAAGGTTTTGGTTTAGAGCCCAACCCTCAGTTACATTTTATACCTAATCGTACCCTCTTGGTTCCCTTCGGTGGCATGTTAGGCACGTTTGATCGAGCCATGGTTCCATGGCGAGACCCGTGCGCGAGCCTGATATGGCGCCGAAGCGAATCAAAAACGGTACGATCGCGACTAGGTACCCAAATTCAGCCAAGTGACCATGATATCGTAGCTAGTCATATCAGGTCAGTGACTTGATGTCGCAGGATGTTAGGACCGTAGGTACTCTTCTGATTGGCTTATCGCGATATATGGGTAAGGCCAAACTGAAGCAAAGCAATGGAACTTCCAACTTTCCCAGGCTATACCAGTGTATACTATTAAACGTGATGTTAATAACTCATTTTCCTCGTAGGAAGGTTTAAAAAATCTCGCCGAGTGTCTGAAAGATGGCAGCAGCAAAAAGCACCAATGCTTCAAAGAGTTCAAGGATAGTACTAAGCTTCCTGCCAAAGGCGTGAGTAGACGCATCTCTTCAGTTTCTGGTGATGAATGAGAACAATAAAATATACGGATAAGTACCTATAAGTAGCTATCCGCGGGTAGCCGAACATTTTGAAGAGAGAATGCCCTGTAATAGTTACTGACATATAATGGTAATAGGACTGAGTGGAGTCCAGTTTGGTCTGTAATCATACGAGTGATAACAAAATCGGACGACCGCGCAGTGGGAGTCCGATTTGTTTATCACGAATATGATTAGTAATAGTAATTGGACCGAGTGGAGTACAAATCATGGAGTAATCGCGCGAGTAATTTCAAAATCGGACGTGCGCGAAGCGCTGGGCCGATTTGATATTTCAAGCACGATTACTCCCTAAATTGTACGACACGAGGTCCAGTTACTAATTAATCGTATCTACAACAAATTTCGGAATTAAAATGTCTTTTGAGAACTTCTTTTGAGCGAAAACGTTTGTAGCACGTTTTCGTAAGTTTTGAAAACTGTAGGAAACATTGCAAAGAAAGCCATTAAAGCGCGCAATTGACGTGCGAATCACGTGGGTACCCAATTACAAAAAGTTTACCTGTAATTGGACACCCACATGATTGCGCGCCGATTACGTGGCAAATGGGCGCCCGGAGAACCAATCGCAATCGAGAATTTCGTTATAGATACGATTACAGACCGAATTGGATGACACGAAGTCGTGTTACCAATTAATCATAAAAATTATAATTTTCCGAGAAAAGAAGAATAGCCAAGTTATGAAAGAAAAAGAAAATCTGCATTAAATGACTGACAAAGGAGGCGTAGATTGTTTAATGTCGCTCTGAGATTAAACTACAACTTTGAATGTGATTGGTTGGTTTAAACTACAACTTTGAATGTGATTGGCTTATTGAACTGTCCGATCACAAATTAACTGACTAATAATAATTTGGCAAGTGAATTAGTGGAAAATAAGAGTTTTTTAAACCAATCACAATCGAGGAAATTGTAATTTTTATGATTAAAGAAGTTATACTTTTGATGGTTTGTTTTGTTTTTGGCGCTAAGATCTTAATCTCCAGCAAAGCAGACTTAGTCAGTGAAAGTCAGTTAGCTATAGAAACGTACACAACATGCAGGCAAAAGGGTTTTTTGCTCCTATTCTATGCCTTTCCTACCTCCCATGTCATTAACACTGCCGTCTGACCGCAAACTTATCCAGCGATAAATCTGACCGCGGCACGGAACAATTGCAGAGCATTTATTTAAATGAACAGCTTCTGAAAGTATCACCGTGGAAAATTGGTTTATTTGTAAATTATGATCATCATTTGTCCTTTTCTTCCCATTCGATGCACAAGGCCTCCATTAGGCCAGATCTTTTGCTGCGCACCGTCGTTCCACAGGGCTATGTAAATAAGGTCTTTATTTATTAATGTACACGCTCATGAATAATTGCCAATGATATTGCATTTTTATATTATATTGCTAAAGATATTACATTTTTCACCTCTCTTTTGTTACAGCACAAGTGCATCACCGAATTTGAGAATTGTGAGGATGTCCCAGGACGCTTTTTTCCATGTGCCGAAGAGTTTCGAAAGTGTTTACATCGTAAAACGGGCCTTGTTTAAATGGCATTGCGGATACCCGGTTGCAGGAGTTGAAAGTTGGGAAATTGTTTAGTGAAATGTAATTGACAACATGATGAAGAATAAAGACATGTAGAAATAATGGCCTGTTTTGTCTTTTTTGATTTGTTTAGAGTAAAATATAGCTTCAGTAAAAACACCATTAGCTCATTACCACTGACAAGAAAACTGGATTATTGTCGGGAATCATTTAATACAGGAAAGTAAGCTCTTGATCAGTCAGCACCAGTTCTTAATCCTGTGTTTCATTTTATCCAAAGACGTCAGTTAGCGACTGTTCCGAACGTTAAGGAGATCAAGCACGTTATGCCGATGGCTGAGCTGAACGCTGAGTTGTACACTGAAAGAACACTCGTGTTAAGGGAGCTCAGTCAGTCACGGTATTTTGAGTTATTTTGGCCACATACAAAATTACCTTTAAATGGTAGGAAACCTGAAAATAACAGTTTAATAAGATGGAAGAACACCAAAGACATAATGATAAACCATAAAGGAACAGAGATGGCTACGGATGGAGAAGATTAACACGGATTGCAAACGACGAATTTGAAAAATTGAGGCTAAACTTTTCAATATGCGCAAACCGTGACTGAGCTCCTTTAAGCTTCACAATGTCACGACCTGATTCACGCCCTTCAGATGGGTGTGGGTCGGCTGTCAAGGGGAACTGACAAAAGACACGAATGAATTTCGTTATGAGAGGGGGGAAGGGTACAAAATTGCCAATTATGATATGTAATATATAGTCTTGTACTGTTACTCTGGTATTTGGGGGGGGGGGGCAGGTTCTATGAGAGATATATACCTCCCTCCCTCCCTTTGGAGAAACAAGAATTAAAAATGTCAATTATCAAATTCATTTCCACTATTGTTTTTTCAAAACAACTGCCCTGGAAATAGAATACTCTACATTTAATAGATTATCCGGAACGGCACTAAATGGATTACAAAATTAAGGTTAATTAAAATATTTTACTCTTCAAATAAATGTATTTACACGTGTCTCACAGCATGATCTTCACTTTAAAACAAATAATTAGAAAGAAACTTAGCTAAATCTTCAACAAATTATCCACGATGTTATGGCAATTTAAGAAACCATACTGTGATAAGACAGTGCGCGAGGTCTTGTTGTCAAGTTAAATTAAGCGGCAGAATAAATGCAACAGCAAGTTCAAGTGCCCTATCCATCTCGGAAATTAAACAACTCTCGAGTTTCCTTGCAACTTTCCCAGGACAATTCCGCACCATTTGCTCACATTTCGTACCAGGTGGTAAATATATGCGCTGTAAAAAATTCTATTATCACCACTTTGTTGGGCATTGTAGCCCATTCTGCGCGGCTAAGATGGAGAATTTGGCGATCTCATATGTATTTTAGCCCGCTAAAATAGACCAATAATAAATATCGTAATTTCAACACTTACAAATACGCTTCATCGAATTTTTCTTTCATGTCTTAACAATTTTTGAAAACTCAAATGGCAAGATTTTGTAATTTCCAGCCAGCTTTGCTTGATGTATCAGTGTATTTTTAGTGAGGAAAAATAAAAGCCATTCAACTTGTAAACGCTCGCGTAATCGGTTCAGACTGTTTTGTTGTCATTTGTTTCAATTATTTTTTCTCTATGCCAGCCAAAGTGATAATAATAGTAATACAGCTTCTGTTCGCGGGCATAAATATGTTTTGGGCCCTTCTCAGAGCTCATTTTAACCCTCGTCTAGCGGCTCGGGCTATATAAGTCCCAGTCGGACCCACTCGCATGTCCAAAATTGTTCCAGTTAATGACAAGTTACTCAACCGGTCTCGTGTTAATTGGGGTATGACGTCATGACGTTGCCATGGTGATTCAGAGCTTAGTAAAACGTGTGTCATTTGGAACTTTCATCTTTCTCAAGCACACCATTGACGTTCGATTTTCTGTTGGATTGATAATGGTCCTGCTCTGATCACTTAAAGTTGAACAGTATCGTCATTCAAAAATCCGATCGAGCCACCTTAACATGCTAAATAATTATGCTTTACATCGGGAATGTCGGGGTACTTAGCTGTCGAGGGGGTATTTCAGGACATAACATCGCTGCTTAATTCGTAGCGTCCTTGGCTACCCCTCCCCTGCAAAAAATAGATTCCGAAATATACGCAACAAGAAAACAACTAGTTCATCTTTTCAGCTTAAAGAGGCCCGAGCAGATTTCTCTCTATTGATTTATTCATTTTATAAACTCTTTGCGATTAAAAAAATATCTTTTACATCATGTAATTTCTTGGTTATCTACTCTATCTATCGACTCCAGTGCATGCCGGTATGTGGTCTTTGTCTATCGATTATCTTTGTCTTACATTCTTACTTTGTCCTACCATCCTAATGTGAAGTAAGGTATATATAAGTTTATAATATACATAGGACCCTGTGCACGCACTCTGATTGGTCAGAGTATAAAACATAGAAAAAGCGTGTTTTATTGTTTTTTGCCATATTAGCTCTGTGTATTAAGCAAATGAAGAAGCCTAAGCCATGTATTACACTGTGATAAAACAATCCGGACATTTGAGAACGCTCGAGAAATGTAGGAAACACGAGCCACAGAAAACACGACCCTGTAGCTCGTGTTTTCTACATTTCCCTCGTGTTCTCAAATGCCCGTCGTGTTTTACCACAGCCTAGACGAATTGTATAAGCCCAAGACTTCTAAGCGGCAGTTTACGGTAGTTTATATTTACAATAGAGAGTTTAAGCATGACGTTTACGGCAGACGTCAAACGGCAAAGATTACCTCTGAATTTGTGTTCTTTTCTTTTAATCCTTAACTAAATCACACAAAAATACAAAAAAGTCTTCTACTACTCACCCCAAATACAAATATTTTCAGTCCTCTGTACAGACAGCTGAAGACAGACGGCAAAAGTTTCATGTTTGCCGTTTGCCGTTTGACGTAACGTCATGCTTAATCTCTCTATTAAGACATGCATCCACCCACACCGTATTTACCAGATTGATCTTGATTTCAATTCGTTTTTTACCGGGGTGGTGGTGGTGGGGGGGATTAAGAAAGCGATTTTTACGACATCATATTGTAATTCTACCAATAGAGACTTGGTTTCCACCAGAAGTTCGAGTAACAACTAAGTGGACAAAAACTTTGTACCGAGATTACTTACATCGTGTTGCGAACTTCTGTGCGACTGTTTTAAATATGTTGCCAAGAGAAATCATTTCTAACAACAACAGATGTCGAAAACGAATCTTGAAGTTCAAATGAAACACTTGAAAGTGCTGGTGAAATGAAACTGATGGTGGAATTTTACCTGTGTTTGCACAATTTCTCTGAACTTTGAAATTTATTTTCTCGAGTTCCCATATGGGAAATTGTTTCTGGAGTTGCCGTGATACGGGTAACTATTCATATCTTTAGCTTTCAGAAAATGCAAAAAGGTTATACTTAAAATTATTCTGGTACAAGGTTGTTGCCCACTAAAAACTGAAATTTCTCGATTTCCTACTGGATTTTGTCTTATGTTCTTTCTATCGTAGGGAATACCGAAGAGTAAGGGACTAGCGGAGTGGAAAAGCGACGGTGGGTAGAGAGGGAGCTCCATTAATTCCCCGTGCCCTATCCTTCGTTTTCCTCCGATTATACCATCCAAATACTATCACGTGTGTGTCCGAAGAACAGATCAGCCATCCACGTCGTTTTCCTTTATCGACGCTCCTCGTTTACTCTTCTAACGTTCCAAAGGCAAGTGCAAGTACGCCGTTCTAATGTCATTCCGCTGGGGCACCGTGTACTCGGACATTTACACAGGCAGGTCTTGGGGTCACGGAACTTCAGATGTTGTTTACAAGGTCTCTTGCTGCAAGTGCACCGACACTTTTTCTCATCAAACTGGAAACGCTTTGTGCACTTCGACTCAATGTTTGTAGGATCGCATTTACACTGACACTTTACAGGATCCCAGCGGAAGTTACTCGGGCAGGGTATTGGTCGCGGTTTGCACTGGCAACTACACTGTTCTTTAGAGTACTGCTGTGTCCTGTTATCACAGTCTGTAGGCTTGATCTTGCACCCGCAAGAGCAGTTAGTGTGGTTCGTCACTCGGACCGCTGTAAACTTGTTTGAAATTTCTTCCAGCTCGGCCTTGGCGGACGACCAAGCAACTCTGCTCACCACAAGGTTTAGATCTTCTTTCCCTACGAAGGAAAACAAGAGAACGATTGTAATTATACACCTGATTTCGCGGCTCTGATTTTGCCAGCGTCGAATCAAAGTATCTTAACCTTTTTCTCTCACTCTGGCAAAAACGACATTCAAAAAGGAAGTAAAAGAGTGATTTTCAGTTTAGCATAATGGTATCACGAAGTGCACAGCCCACAAGCAGGCTCTTCTCTCCCCGCGAGGAGCCGGCTCGCAGGCTATAAGGTATACAACACTGCTAAATGGGTCTCGATAATGCTTGTCGTAAGGAGGGAGGGGGAGGACGAGGGGAGGACGAGGGGGGAAGGAGAAGGACCTGTGATAAGGAAACGGCTCTAATATACCATAGGCTAAGTGCACGTGATGAGTTTGACAATTGCGGCTCTTAATTAGCCAATTCTTTCCACCTACCTTCAGGTTGGCACGATGTTTCAAAGGGTCTGTCATTGCATGCGCCACCGCACCGGTGTAGTGTCACAAAGAACGGAAAGTAAAAAGAGCTCGAGCCTTCAGGCTGGGGAAGTTCCACCACAGCAGGACGCGGAGCGCACGGAGCGCTGTCCAGAATAACATACGGAAGATCAGGGAACTCTAAATTCTCGCTGAACCTCGCCAAAATACCAGCAGCTGCAAAATCCACAATTAAGAACAGTTAAACTCTTTTTCCACAGTGAGATGAGGAACAACAGTGGTTCACCCAAGGGATTTTAGAGTGCTGGGATGTTAAATTTGCACCAACCTCAGTGTACGGGTGAGGGGAATACTCCACTCAGATTACGCTGACCGGGATGTTCGATAGAGGAAAATTTTGAAAGAAAAACCGTCTTCAAGTCTGAAGGCTAGTGTAGCTATCTATAGTTGCGTTCCTCTTTAAAGTTAATTGCTAATCCATTTTCTTGGGCATATGCTAATATATGATACCACGGGGTCAAAACTATATAACACTGACACTAGATACAGTCATGTCACTGTCTATCAGAGATCAGGTTTCCAGTAAAACGGCTTGGTGCAGATGTAAATGTCATCCTGTTATAAGATAACGCCCAATTTTCCCGTGTGAGTAAGTTTTTGTTGGTCGTTATTAACTTGAACAGACAGTAAACGAGAATTGCAGACACTTAGGCCCAGTTCAGACGCCGAACTTTTCATGAGCCGAACTTAATTCGAATTTGGACCGACCCAAATTATCAAAAGTACACCTGTTGATTCAGACNTCGAACTTAATTCGCCGAACTTTATTTAGTTTAAACCAAAACACATCGAAATGTCAGCGATTTTCAGGCAAATTAAAAACTGCTTGTAAAATACGTTATAATAATTTAGACATTAGGTTCGGCTCATGAAAAGTTCGACGTCTGAATCAAAGCCGTTCCAAAGCCGAAAT